AGTAAATTTTGAATGCGGTTCACCGTAAAATATGTCATTTGTTTGTTCAGATTCAATTTGCTCAATCAGTCTGTTTTGTTTCACACACATTATCACGAGATCATGGCTTGGTATGATGAAATGGAGAAAAAGTATGCGGAAAGGGTTGTTGACTCCGAAGTTGAGGCCTGCGAACGAAGCAAGGAGCAATGGCTTTATGAAAGTGACGGGACGGCTCAGGTATCCATAGAGATTTCAACCAGTTTGTCATAGATGTCTGTTTCAATTTTGCATTCGTAGGCCTATGCTACGACTATTGGCGAAGGTACACAATTGGTTCGCGAGTTGGAAGTTCACTCACAACATACTGGAATCGACTACAATAGCAACATAGCGTGCATCAATCGACTGATTCGAAACATTGGTGAGCACATTTTCAGCACAAATTAATCCTTACGAGTTCAGTCGTCCTACTACTAATTCCAGCCCCGCTTCGTTCATCGAAAAACGTTCGGTCATCAAAAAACTTGACTCTTTTTCTCGGGAGTTGACAGCTTTGTTTAGTGTAACTCACCTATGACGATACTGCTCCACACAACAGTACAACAGCAGAACTACTAGAGCAGGATTATTGGCTGAAAAGATGAGGCTTTAGGGATCGGTCCAAAGGAATATACATGTGGTCTTCTAGAACGCACGCCTGAAGTTCACGTTGTGCGTCCAGTGAAATTGAACGAATCAAAACGGCCGTTTTGCATTAACTATGCGCTCTGCGATTCCGTAATGCGGTTCAGGACACATCATCGCATTGTATGAAATTTTCGCAAGGTCCTCGCCTCCGGTTGTCAACTTAAATAACCTTCATATTTATTAGGGAGACGGGCAAGAGAATCGTAATTTGCCGCTCCGCCGCGCGCGGCGATGGGCGCGGCGTTTTCTTAACTCGTGTTAACCTGTCGATTGGAGCACCGGACTTCATGTAGACCCCGTCATCGTAGACATTCATGACTATTTTCGGTTCTGAATTGCCCGTTGTCGCCATCTACTACCTGGAACCATCGTCTATTGCGGGCGCGTCATCGTCATCTGCGGGTGAATTACGATCCTCTTGTCATATTCCCTATTTATTACCAGGTAGAAAGAGGTAAAACAGCGCTCGTAAAAGGGAGAAAACAGAAAAAAAAACAAGTAGCACAGTTTTCTTGCGGCCAAGTAGGACATACTGGTACATTTGACACAATAGGTCATAGTGCGCGAATGTCATAGTGCGGCTCAAAAAGTGAAGCTAATAAGTAACAGTTGACTTGGCAGTAACGGAAAAATGTGAGAAAAGTCATCGGAAATGACATCGATTAACTGCTTTTTCACACCCGGTTCCGAGCATCAGGCAAGTATCCAGAGAGCAAGATGATGCCAAGAAATGCGCGGAATAATGGAGCGCCTTGACGTTAGAAACGAGAGTGAGAGTTTACATAGCCACATAAATACTGGAGGCGCGACTTGCCTTTACCATGCATCTCTGAGTAGCATGTGTGGCTTCTTCTGGGTTTCTTCATTCAAAAAAAAACTGCCTAGATGAATTATGCAACGTGTCTATGAAACGTGAGATTCTCTTTTCCAGGCTTTTATTCTTCAGTGACCTAATTCCAGAAAGTCGCAATAGTAAACTGTCAAGTATTTGGAATCCACAACGCGTGCTGTTGCAAATTGGACTTCGTTTCGCGGTGTTCGTTCGAGATAACTGTGAAGTGCTCTCTCAGATTCGGGTGAGTAGCGAACAGTATGCGGGCTTTGTTCGGCTTGGTGTGGGCAGTTTTGCTGGTTTCCAGCGGATCACTGTCTCCTGTGGGAATCCCTGTAAATCCCTATAGAGCCATGTAATAGTTTGAGCGTCATTTACGCTCGACGTGAGTCTACAGCTCCTACCGAGATAAGACGTGTGAATTAACAGAACTAGTTGAAGAAACTGCAGAACGTGCAAAATGCCCTCCTCCCCCCCCCCCCTCAGCCAAACGGCGCCCAGTAATTGTTTGCCTAAATCTAGTCTCTCTGCGACAATGGATTTACATTTTAGAGCTGGGAGGAAGACATGCGTGGCATGTTGGAGTCGTCAACATTTGCTGGGAATGCGGAAAAGGTTCTACCATTTCACCAAGACAACACAGCTCAGGTGAAAATGGCTGTGAAGAATATCCGCAAGTGTGCTCAGGAGGTTTTGCAGGTTAGTTGGTATGCTTATGCAATTTCTGTTCCACTCATTGATAACTTTCTTTCAGTCTATTCATGGTAACGGCTTCTCTGACTTACGAACTAGGCAAGGAAAGAGTGTGACCGACTTGATCAGAGAGAACTTGAAGATTCTTGAAGTGGCCGAACATCAAGTTATGCAGGTGTGCTTACATTCATACTTGTACGATGTATCCAAGCATGTGGCACACAAATCAGTTCGCATACGGCGCGCACGTGTACCGCCTGTATCACAGCTCGGATATTGTTGCACACGAGAATCACATAATAGAGTGGTGAAATTCGGCTCAATACTTTGTTGTTTTCAGTATGCTGCAGAGACATCCTACCGGATTGAAGGGTCACGAAAATTA